CGTGCAAAGCACACACTCCCCCACTGGATTATAATTCCCCTGAAAGGTGATGTATAGGTAACCCATTTTAAAGTGTCTTTTGGGTCTCTGTGGCCGTTTGCGTGATGTGCAAATGCATCGTGAAAATACACATCAGTTAATCCCAGCAAGAACCCCAAATGGGGTTAGTGATAGCTCCAATCAACGGCCATGCACAAACAGCTCACGGTGAATTCTGTGTTTCCAAGCTAAAGTCCTAGAGCAGCTAGGAGTTCTCCAGTCATTCAATGTTTGGTTTGGTTTTAATTCCTGCTTCCACGTGTTTATAAGGAGGATGCCAGTCCTGCAAGGTAGACCAGATTCCTGCCCATTACAGGGGAAGATCTAAAGGGCTAGAAAGGGATGGGCTGATTCTGTCTGTGGTCATCCTATTGCCTGTGGATTTTTTTCCCTCTGATGTAGGGGAAGTGGGGTGGGATCCGGCAGCCTCTTAGCACCTTTATGGTGGTGGTGGAAGATTCAGAAAACAGCCAGATCCTGAATGACTGAGTGATCCATGATCATGTCCTGTTGGATAAATCCAAGTCCGGGCGAGTGGACTATTCAAGCCACCCAGATGCAACCTGTTTTTTCAAAGGTCCAGGCCAGGAGCTTTTTAACCCCAGCACAGGGTTCTCTTTAAACTCTCCAGACGCTCGGCATCGAGACCTCACCATCAAAACCGTAAGTGGGGCAGATCCGTATTTACCGCCGTCCCCCTACCTGGTTCGTGGATCATGTAATGGACCCAGCCTTGGCTCTGCTGGACCCCCAGGTTCCGCCACTCCGATTCGGACATGAGGTGGGTCTTGGGAACCAGCTTGGCGATGTCTTTGGGCAGCGTGACGTGCCTGCAAGAGCAGCCGGGCAGGGGAGACGAGGAGGGGGAGGCAGTTGTGGCATCACACAGGGTGTGGAGTGCACCCCGGGCGAAGGAGGAGATGAGGCAAATGCCTGGGTTGGAGGCATGGGAGTTGTAGTCCAACCAATGCAACCTAGGGTTGGGAAGCCCCATTGGATTCTGGGTCCCCCCACCCCCACCATCTCGGCCTGACCTGACCGGCCGGCAGGGGTCTCCCGCCTCAACGCCCATCACCCCCAGCCCGCAAGCTCAAGGGTTGGGAACCATGGGAGGTGTGGTCCAAACGAGGGCCAAGGGACGACGGCTGGTGGGGGGGCGGATTGGACGGTCTCCGAGAGCCCTTTTAAAAGGATCGAGGCGGGGAATCAAGCGCGGGCAAATCGATCAAGGGCGAGAAGGAAGGCGGGATAAAAATGGAACATTAATAATGG